AGTCTAATTAAGATATGCGGCAGAAACTTTTATAAAGCTATTTTAGATAATAGCACTGCCATATGCAGATTTCCATAGGTATTTGGAAAGAGGAACTAAAGAACCAAATAGATGAATAATTAAGATAGTTGAATCAAATTGAAGTACCTTTTACTATTATAGCGTATCGGAGAGTTTGCTATTTTACAAGCAGTTAGGGCTTATAGTCATTATAAAAACTTTCTCAAATGAATAAATAGGATTCACCGAAACCTATGAAAAATGTTTTGATTGATATTTGCAATAAACTGAGATTTAGTTATCGTTTTGAAACTGTGGCTTTACAATGTATGCAGAAGTATCAGACATTCTATCAAAAGGTAAAACAATTATGCTCTCAAAGCTGACAAGCTTTAGCAAAAAACTTATATTATGGGTTATCTATTGGAGGAATAAAAGTAAGGCATGAAGCCACGCCCCTGTACATCCTAAGATATGAATGAGCTGAACGTAAATAAAAAGTATTTTAATAAATATATGAAAGTTAATCAGACAGTATAAAAGGCGTAAAGAATTAGCTCACAACAGAGTTGGCAGGAATCGGAGCACCCAAGAGTCCAGCAATAAGGGGGCAAATATCGGCTTGCTGCACAATGTGACGCTTAACGCCATAGTTATGGACCGGCAACTCAAAATTATCGAGCTTGGAATCTATATCTTTAGTATTGGTAGAACGAAGGAATTCGCCGGTGAGTGAAGGCAATTTTTCAATTTGCTTACCAGGTTTATCTGAACTATGAGAAGGCTTGACTATTCCGGCACCCCAAGCAAGCAATAGCGTCAGAGTTTCGTGAAGGGATCCGTCGCCATGGCTTCCTAATGAAAATTATGAATAAAATATATACTTAAAACGCGATATTTATTGAGACTATGAATAATATACTAATCACACCACTTAACTAACATGATACATTATAATAAGTTTGGAGAAAAATAGTGTAAGTATAGTATATTTTCCACGGTTAGACATAATTGTTGTCATCTATTACCGGGCTTAAGGCACAGATTAATTTAAAGGTCCCAAATTTAAAAAAAAACAAGGGCTAATAAATGATGAATTTTGACTAATAAATTTAGTTGACTTGCTTGATATCGCATGGGGCATCAGAAGCTAGTAAAAACAAAAGCTTGTCTGAATTTTGATTTCAGATAGAATTCACCTGCA